CACAGTACAATTTTAAGTAGTAATTATTAATAATTAATATTAATACTTACCTAAGAACTATCATGACTACTAATAGGTACTTCATTACTTTATGATAAACCGATAAACGAATGAACCTTAATTAATCATGACTGTTTATCAAGGAATAAGGATTAGGTTCTTAAAGTCAATATGTGCTAGTATAGTATACTGTAGTCTATAATTGTTAAATACCTACCTGATCTACATTTGTTTGTAATGTCTTTCAATATTATAACCTTTCCTGTTTCATGGAGCAACTTATTCTGAATTAATTTTTTATTGGCATTTAAGTCCATTAATTCAACAATTGCTGCCGTTGTTTCTGGTGTTACGTTGGTTTGGGAGAAAACTATACATAGTACGAGATTAGGGTGATTATGAATTTCATTGAGTTTTGAAATAACTAGTGCATTTCCCTTTTCATTTATTCGTAAATAAATATTTGCTTCACAGCCCTGTTTTAATGTTCTGAAATTAAACAATAATACATAATATAATTATTATTAGGACTCGGGTACTAGAGCCCTAAACACTTAAAAACATAAATTAAGTACTCACGAGGTTATACATTTGACGAGGCATGTTTTTCTTTTTTTATACACACCACCGTGTACACATAAATACTTTATATAGTAGTACTTTAATTGTTCTGGGGCATTTGCGCCTTTACCAGCTGGATGCTTCGCCCTTATAAATTCTAACGTTTTGCAATCATATACTGAAAAATCTATAAAGTTTGAATCTTTATAAAGTTTAAGCACTCTCTCAAATTCGTCAAATTCGTCACCTAACTTCATCTTGAGTTAAATGAGTATACAAACTTCAAAATTTAAAAAAAAATTTGGTAGTACATCACTGACACTAGTTAAAATAAAATAAAACTAGTTAGCCTATAAATAGCATATAAACATGAAATAATATTATGGTATCTAAGGCGCATGCACATTAACAATTCGATCAATTCGGGTATCGAATATATACACGGATGGGTCCGTGTACGCTTTATCTACACGGGCACCCGGGTGCGAAATTTTAAAACATGTCACGGCGCATTTACCATCCGACTATCTTATCACATACAAGATATATGATAACAAGTTGACATTGATAACAAATTWRAATTTTGTTAATTACATTGAAAATGGGTGGTATGGTTCAATTCTAAAGCAACCTCAATCCATATCAGTAAATACTGAAAACGAAATAAAACAAAATATTAATATAAATTGTGTTCAAGATACAATAGCCAATGATGTTACAATGGAAGAAAATGACAACATGGAAAACAATGAAAGTGAAACTGCTAGTAATGGTCTACAAATGTTTGATGAGAYGGTACAAAAAATGAGAGACGTAATAAAATCAGATGAAACTTACTTTACACCTGGAATTAAAGCAATGAGTAATTCATTTAAGAAAAATGTAAAGACACATGCTAGTCTACTAWCAGYTATGATGACATTTGGTAAATATTCTGGTCTTGATCCAACTTCCAAGAAACTTAAATTGGTTGGAAAMAAGCACATTGGTACACAACCTACAGCAAGATCCAGACGTACAACTGAAATTAAAGGAAGAAAAAATTTAGCTGCAGGAARGGTTCCTAAGTGGAAACGCATTCCAGAACACAGCTATGGGAGCCAACCTAATTCTAGTGTTCTGCCACATACCCCAAAACCAAAAATGCCACACAATTTATCTTATTGTGTTGAGCAAAACAAAAGATTAGGAGCGACACATA